CTCCCTTCTCAGGTCCTTAACCTCCTCAGACTCAGGCGAGCGGCCCCTCCCGGGAAGAGAAAGCCGAGGCTCAGCAAGGAGTTCTTTCGGGGGTTTTTTATTATTACGGAGAGGGCGGAAAAGGGCGCCGCGTCCCTCCGGCCTCCCGGCCCCGGGAAGGGGCTGCCCGGCGGCGGGCCGGAGGCGGCCGCTAGTTCCTGCCGCAGGGAAAGGCGTTGCTCAGCCTCTTGCAGAAGCAGTTGGCGTTGAAGAAGCGGCAGTAGCAGGTGGCGCAGGGGTCGCAGCAGGGCAGCCGGTGGCCCAGGCAGGACTCCTGCAGGCGGACGCACCTCCGCGGCGGCGAGCGCTCCTCCCGAGGGCCCGGCGCCCCCTGCAAGGAGAGAGGAGGAGGAAGAGGCGTTGGGAGGGGAGGGGAAGGCGGGCGGCTGCCCTAAACAGCGCCCGGGCGCAGAGAGACAGAGAGCAGCAATTCGGTTGGCCCCGGTGAGGCGGGCGAGGGGGGGGGAGAAAGGGGGGTCGCGGTGTCGTGCCCCCGCGCGCCTGCCTGTGTGCGCCTTGGACGGGCCTCCCGCCTGCAGATCCCAGGCTGCTTCTCTTTTGGCTCATGCCTTGCAGGAGGAGACTCTCCTGGTCCAGGAAGGACCCTCTCCTCTTTTCCTCCTCCCACCCCACCGCCTGGGTACTGACCAGGGAATGCCTGATTTTCCGGAGGAGGACTGACTCTCCACAGGGGCTGAACTCTGCATGAGTCTTGTTTAGGAGGGCTACCTCCCTGATGTGGTTTTACCAGCACACAAAAACCTTCTTGTTTAAGCCAGTCTTTGGCGGCTCTCTGAAAGCTTAAAATGGGCCTCTTAAAGCCTGTGCTGCAGCCTTTAATCTATAATAGTTGCATTTAATTTAACTGAGGGATTTTAACCTGGTTTTAATTGTGTGTGCATTTTAAACATGACAATGCTTGTAATTATTTATTTTATTTTTTTATTTATTTATTGTCATTGTAAGTATATACACAGTACTGTATACCCATACAATGAAATTCACAGACATCCAGAGACCAGACACATGCACACACATAAAATTCCCCAAACACTCCCCACCCACTTAAAAAAAATCCCCCAACACTCCCCACCCACTAAAAGTCCCTCACTAAAAATACAAACATCTACACCGCAGGCCAAGTAACATAGTCCACCTAACTATTCACTACTGGTGGTCTTTAAGCTCATTATTAAGTGTAATTATAGCTTTGGGATAAAAACTACTCAGAAAACGTGTGGTCCGAGTCTTAATTGTTCTATATCTTCTGCCAGACGGCAACAGTTCTAAAAAGTTATAAGCAGGATGGGAAGAGTCTCTCGGGATGCTGTGTGACTTCCTCAGACAGCGGGATGTGGTGTCCTCAGAAGACACCAGGGTTGGTAGCTGGAGCCGGATGATATTCTGGGCAATTTTAATGGTTCTCTGTAGAGCTTTTTTGTCTGCTACAGAGCTACTCCCAAACCATGCCAGAATGCCATAGGTTTTAATATTCATAATATACTGTATTTTTAATTGTGCTTGTTATTTTAATTATACCACAGGTTGTCTTGGGTGCCAGTATTTGGCAGGATAAACACAAAAACAGATCAATGAATGAGACTTCATGCTGTTCACACAGCCCCGGTTTCAGAACATGACAAGCTACTCTACAGAGACCCATCCCTGGTTCATCAGGGCTAGCATTTCCTGTACTGGCTGGGTTGGTGGCAGTGGCTGTCCAGCATTGCAGGAGAAGTCTTTCGGGCTCCACCTGGACACCCTTTGCCACCAGACACTTAACCTTCTATACAGAGCATGGGCTTTGCCTCTGAGCACTGGTCCTGTCTTGCCCAGTACAAGGATCTTTGAGTGTCTGGGCCTGAACCGATCCCTCTTTGCCTGAGGATGTACAGAGCAGCAGCTGCCAGTGGAAGGGGGCTGGGCTGGGCTGGGCTGGGCTGAGGAAATCAGGGGTCTGACTGAAGGTGAGCCTGCTGCTAGTCAGGATGTAGCAGGAAGGCTGCTCTAGGGACTCACCTGTTGCTCCATCACGCTGATGTCTGCCACATGGTCATCCTGTGCTACAGGCATCTCCAAAGCCAGACGGTCAAAATCTGGGCAAGAAAGGTGGGAGGAATCATGGAGAATGCAAAGGGCACCCAATGGTCATAGCAGAGCTTGTGGTTACTTTAGAAGCATCACGGGGTGTTCTGAGCACATACGCATGCACTCATTCTCACATAAAATGCCCAGGGCAAGAAAAGGGTGAAAGCAGAAGCCCTTTCACATCAAACCAACAGTTGGAATATCTGACATGGTCAGTGCAAGTTCAGGGCAACAGCCGAGAGCTTTTTTGTTTAGAAAGGACAGTACATTTCCAGAGAGGACGCTTATTCAGCTCAGAATCTCCCCCTCCCTTTGCTGGCAGTTTAGCAATGGTGCTCCTCCTCTTCAGGCACAGATAACACTGGGTTGAGCCCTACAAACAAATGCCACCAGAGCCTCTTACGAACTGGGCAGGCAAGGAGATCTAGCATCAATGGGCTGCCAGGTCTGCATAACCATTTACAGAAGAGAAGGGAACCAGCCTCTAGGCATGACTGCTCCACTCAAGGCTTTGAGAAAGCAGGAGGGGAAGAGATTTAGAGAGACCAACCTGGTGGGGGCACCTCTCTGACCATCTGTAGAAGGCTTGGGTAGCTTGACTGGCCTGCTTCGTAGAGAATGGATCCTCTCTCATCCAGGTGGTTGGGGCTGGAGGCCAGGAGTCCTGGGATTCCCTGTAGAAGTCCGAAGGAGAGCAGCAGCATCCTCAGCATCCTTCTGGACAACCTGCGTGCAGGGAGTGGGGAAAGAAGGAAAACTGAGCTGCTCATAGGTGGAGGTACAGGAAGGATGGCAGAGAGCCTCTATCCTGGCATCCAGGTGGTTTTTTCTTTTTCATTCGCACACCATAGTTGTTCAAGAGCCAAAGTGAGACATTTGGGCACAGAAGCACTGTGGAAGTGATGGAGCAGACCAGCCATCATCCTGGTGTTGCCTTCTGTGTCTATTCCAGCCTCCCAACCCAAAGCCGCTGTGGCCCTGGGCTTCCATGTGCCACCCAGGCCGGCAAAGAGAGATTTCACGGCCCCAGTCAAGCCAGCAGAATAAGTTTCTACCGAGCGGTCCCCTCTGTGAGGAGCTAACTTGTGAAATGTACATTGTCTCCAGGATTCCACTATCACCATCCTCTCAACCCCAGATTTTGCTCCTACAAGGCAGTGGCCCTTTTTCTGAATATATGAATCTCACTTGATTCATGCTTACCTGGCAGTCGGATTAGTTGCTCCCCTTGATGTTCTGTTTCTACTGCTGAGATGCTTCGCGGGAGTGTGGAGTGTGAGGGGCCCTTACCTGCGTTCCTTGCAAGCAGGTCTGACAGATCTCCTGAGATCCTCGCCACTGCACACACACCCCAACACGGCCAAGTGCCATGGCTGTCCTCTCTCCCCTGGCAAGCCTGACGCCTTAGAAGGCATGACTTTGGGAGGGTGGACAGGTGTGTTTCGTTCGTGATAGGTTGAGGAAAGTGCCCTGAACGCTGAGGATCTCTCTTCCCTGGTAGTCCCAGAGGAAACATCCTTTGCCTCAGGAAGATTCCTGAACATGATTCAAGAGGCTGCGCCCCCAACTGTACACACAAGTCTCTCTGCCCATGCCCCACCTGCTCCTCCTCAAAAGCATTTAGGACCGTGCACCCTCACACCATCCCTGACAAGTTGCTCAGGATAAGGAAGTGAAAGTCGTCCTGGAGTTGCACAATTTCGGTGTGTAGGTTACAGCAAAGACAGAAAACACCACCCCAGCAGTAGCAATCTCCTCTTTCCTGTACTGTATTCCCTTTCACTAGAGAGGCCGCAGGGTGAAACTACAGAACGTCCTGCACACAAAGCCTGTGCAGTGCTGTTGCATTATGGCCCCTATCCCATGGAAGAGAGCACATGCCCCACATTGCAGACCAGTTGGTAGGTGATGAGGAAATTCACTGTACCTGGACTTCCTTGTCTCTCTCTCTCCCTCACAAAGCGTCTCTGTGGCTCTGCTGAGCGGCACAATGCCCAAGGGCTTATATTAACCAATCCTAATTAACTGGACGGGGCACATGATTGCGATTTAATGGGTGGGTGGGCTCCTATGCAAACATCACTTTGTCCTTTTCCAGAAGGATTACATTTTGCTTCTGCTGCCTTTACACAGGTTTCCATGGAGGATCTTATTTATTATTTATTTATTTACAAGATTTTTTTTAGCCGCGCCATTACCAGTGGTCTCTGAGCGGCATACAACATTATTAAAACTTTAAAAGCATTAGAAACATTAAAAATAGGCAATATTATAACAATATCCTATATTCCATATAGAATATTATTCTATACTATATCCTGTAATAATATCCTAATACCACGGGGTCCCTTCAGGGAGACCCCGTGATCCTTCCTCCTCTTGTGGGCGGGTTCCCCTACTCCCCTGCCAGCCAGACCATTCTTGATGAGCTATAACCAGTTGCAGCTACATATCTTGTGGAGCTGGTAGATGAGACTACTCAGAGCATTCCAGAGAAGGTTCCTGCTGCTGAGTAGAACAGACCACTCTGGGACAGAGGGCTAGCAGAGCTCAGGAAAGAGGGCATGTGCATCTGCTCCAGAAGACGGGCTTGGGGCAGCCAACGAGGAAAGCTATTAGGTACCACTGGTGGAAGGAAAACATGGAGTACATTGCAGAAGGATCAGATGGCCAGCTCCACAAACACTCTTAAGATCAGAAGAGCTTGCTGGACTCCCATGGAGCAGCTTGTTAAGAAGGGTGTTAACAGTCCCGAGTCTCAGTTCACACTGGCTGTGTTCCTGTGACACCACCTGCCATTCTCTAGCCACCAACACAGCAAGACTCGAGTTACATTGTGGGTCGGTAGATCCCCCCCATCTCCCTTTCTCCCACTCACAAGCAAGAAGCAGTGGGCCAAGAAGAAGCCAGGTCTTTCAAGAAGGCTCTTTCTCAGGCCCTCCTTCTCTTCAGGGAACCATGGTGGGTGGGACATTGTCTTCTACTGGGAGAACCTCTGGAGAAAGACCTACAACAGGACTCAATGCATATCTGCTCGGGAGTAAATTCTGCTGAAGTCAATGCCATTTCCCCTCTTGCACTATGAAACACAGCATCAAGTGTCCCCCTGTCACCTGCTAGGCAACAAGGAGCTGTCCAAGGAAGCCGAGCATGCAGGCAGGGTTGCAAGTGTAAGGGTGCAACTAGCCAGCCCTGCCAGCCTTGGATTGCAGGTGGCGGCTGTGCCCCTTGGCCAATGACTCCCGGTGGGGCCATGGAAAGTGGCCGCCCTGTCCTTAGAGAGGCTTAGGTTTTTCATGGCGGGTGCAGTGTGCAAAGTAGACACAGCACTGTGCTCACGACTCACTTCCAACGTGAACAACCAACGCTCCCTTCTCCTCCCTTATCTGCTGCTTCTTGGGCAACACATAAGGAGGCCTTTCTCTAAGATCTTATCCTCCCATCATCCCCACTCAAGCCTTTTTTCTAACCAGAGATCATTCCCCTCTCAGGAAAACCCAACTGAAGAGCCGAAAGTCTGCCAGAGGGAGAGGGGAAGGGGAAAGTTATACTGCTGGTTTGAGGTGGAGATGGGATTCCAGGGAGGCAGGATTCTGGCTGCTGTAACACATGGAGATCTACTACTTTTGAGACTGCAGAAACAGAGCAGTGCAGTTTTTCTGAATCACTGGAAAGCTACGGAGGGGCTGTTTCTCACAGGCCTCCCCTCTTGAATGGCAGGCAACGGTAAGGGCCTGAGAGAGGCCCTCCTTCTCTTGGCCCCGTGGCTGCCGGGCTCCCAGCTCGCTGTCGGCCAAGTCCACTTTGTTTCCAAAGGTCACTAATGATTGTTTGTCTGGGTGGCAAAAGAGGATTCTGGGAAACGATTAGCACCCTAATGAGGGAAGCAGCAGTACCAAAGTACTCCTGAAAGCTTTTCAATCTGCAAAGGAAACATTGAGTGGAAGTGTTACCCCCAACAAACACACATCCACCTGCATGTGCGCACACACATGTACATACACACTCACCGACACAGAGGGAGTTCCTGGCAGAGAGGAGCTCAAAAGAGCCCTTCCAGTATGCCTGGTGAAAAGACTGTCTCTCTCTCTCTCTCTCCCACCTCACCCCAAATATGGGGGACAGGACCCAACTAATCCTTGGGCTGAGGTGGGTTCTCTGCTCCTGTGAGGGCCCTCACCCACCCTCACCCTGCCTGCCTTCTTTGGTTTTCCTTCCAAACCAACAATCAGAAATTAAAGGGATCTTTCCCCTCAGGACAGAGATAAATCCAACAGCAAGATAAGGGGATGCTTTCTTTAAAATCAGGGTGTCTCTTTGGAAACACTGCAGGCACATGAGTGTCTGCATGCACACACACACCCCTTTTTTGTTGTCCTCAGATTGGGAGGCAATATTCCTGCCAGCAGGGTGAGCAGATGTACCTGGTGGATACCGATGTGTGCCAAAAGCTGTGTCCCCATCATCCTTGCAGTCCTTCCTGTTAATGCCAGGGATCTAGTGGGAAATTGGGTCCCTGAAAGAAGATGTAAAGACACACACACACACACACACACACTGCACTTTGGCTTTTATTGTAAGTCACCTGAGAATAAAGGAAATGAATATAAACCACATGAAAAAAATGTAGACCGATAACATACCGAACATTACTGGTATTTTAATACTATTCTTCTGATGAGCTCCAATATGATATCTGGTGCTCTTTTATATTGTAACTATTTAATAGTTGGCTTTAAACTTTGTCTCTTTTAATACTGTAAGCTTCAACACAGAGTTTCTTGGAGACATCCAAGATCCAAGCATTGGCATCAGCTCGATTTGATCCATACTAGACGTTCTACCCTTCCTAGCATTACGATCACACACAGTTACCAGAGTGCTGATTGTGATACTGATCACTCCCTGGTGTGTAGTAGAGTAAAATTGCGAACAAAGAGACTGTATCACATGAAAAAGGAAGGAAGACCATGTACTGACATCAGCAAATATTTTAAATAAATGAATAATAAAGGAAGGACATTTGAAAAGTAGCAAGAATGTTGTGATTACTATTGAATTGAAATTTCTGCCTTAGCACCTTGCTGTGGAGCTGCAGAGAAGGCATCAAAGCATGTGGCGGCAGCAGGAGTAGGACTTGGCTGGCCAGATTTGCAGCAGCCTCCATCACATGCATCCCTTCTTCTATAAGAAGCTGAGCCCAGAGTTTCTTGCTGCTAATGATGGCCCATTGGTTCCTGTGGAGACAGACGGTTCTTCAAGGAGTCTTCTGCGCAAAGGAAGCCCAGAATCCTTCACCACTGGTTCCTTCATGGTGATGGGCACTGACTCAAATACGGCACCAGGAAAGGACTTCCTCCTGAAGCCTGTGCAGGCCTCTCGGGCATGGAAGGGTTTCTGAGTCCTTGAGTCTTCTTTTAATTTCTCAAATATTTTGCTATAGTTATTTGAAGGGCTGATGTTTTTGTTTGTTATAATTATTGTTTCTTTGACGTAGATCACCGGGAGTCATGCCCTGTGCTAATTTGGGCCGTATATAAGTTGCTTAAATAAATAAATAAATAAATAAATAAATAAATAAATAAATAAATAAATAAATAAATAAATAAATCTGTTCCTTATCTGGACTTTTAATTAATCGGGAATGTTGTTTAAATTACATTTTGGCATTGCAATCCTTTTAATGTTCTTTTTATGCTCAGAGCATTGCAGCTCTGTGAGCAAAATGGACCTGAGGGTGGAGGCCTGACACCCGGACGCCGCCCTCTGGCTCCCACATCCACCCTCTGGCTCCCACATCCCATTGCCTGGCTTAGGAGCAGCCATTTCCCACCACTAACAAGCCAAAAGAAAAACAGGACTCTAGAGAAGTGAAGAGTGCTCTATCTGAGGTAGCGGGTGGTGGGCGGCTAACCTTCCTCCTCTCTCCCATCACATGCAACCCTGTGGTGTTCTGAAAGCTTTTTAATCTGCAGGAAAAACATCAGACCTATGTTCTATTGCCCCTGACGCAAAAAGCAGGGCTAAATGAGATATTCTCTGCTCTGTGCAACCATTTCCAGGAAAATACGAGCCCCAAATAGCAACTAAAGTGCCCGGCCTGGTCAACACAGCCTGTTTTGCTGAAACCTGAATTGCTGGGGGGGAAGCAACACAACAGTCTGTTCCAGAGGCAGTTTTTCCTGGTGCTGCCCCCCCTTCCCCTCCCCTCCCTCCCCAGTTCTTTCGGGAGGAGGTCTCACCTGGGGGCTGGTTGCTTTGCTGTGGCCTCTCTGTTCAAACTGTCAGGGTCACTAGTGGGCGCAGCAGCAGCAGCAGCAGCAGCTCTCCTTTGGTGGCCCAGCCCTCTCCCCCTCAGCACCCCCTTTTTGCGCTCTAGTGGCACTCACTCCGGAACGCCTTCTTCTGTGAAGGTGGCCAAGGGCACCTTCTGGAGAGCACCGGCCCCCACAGGTCCTCTCCCAGAGCCAGGTGCCTGCCACAGCCCCAGCCTCATCAGAAGGACCAGGACAAAACACCTCCTGTGTCGTCTGGAGGAGCACCGGGGGGGGGGGCAAGCTGACTTGGATCTTGAGCCAGGTCCCCAGCCTTGCCCCCCCCCGTGCTGTTGAGGGGCATGGCCACATGTCTGGAGGCCAGTGGCTCCTCCGCCACAGTTCCTTATCTGGCTACGGAGACAGCGGAGGTGCGGGTGGGGGTCCTTTGCTCTGCCCGCCATTTCCAGCGTCAGCAGGGACTCGCACAAGCACCTTGCCCAGGAAAGGAATCTCAGTGACTCTCCAGCAGCTGTTCTTTTCTCTTCCTTCTTCCATGTTGTGGATCAAGAAAGGGGCTTCCTCAGGGGAGGGGCGCAGCTTCTCTGCCATTGGCGCAGGCCGGCCCGGCCAGTGCCTCCCTGCCGGACAGGAGGAAAGAAGGAGCATGAAGATCAGGCATCTTGGCAGAAGGGCACTGAGGTCCTAGAGCCTTGTCCTCCACCCCCCTCATCTGATACAACAGGGGGGGGCGGCAGAGGAAAACCTGGCAGTACATTCACTGCTGCTACCCTAAGGTGACCAGGTGCTCAGCAAGCAAGAGCCAGCTCACCCCTCTTGGAAAAGCACAACACAGAGCCCCCCCCCGCCCCGCCCGGCCTCAGGCTGTCCTCTCTGCCTGGGGTCAGAGGCCCCCTCAGCTTTCGGCAGCTGGCCTTCTAGCCATTCCCCAGCCTGCCTACCAAACAGATAGTAACTGGGTTTGACCCCATGGCCGACAGGCAGCCCCGGTCATGTCAAAAAGGGCCTCAGTGCCTGCTGTTCCCTCTGACCTCGTGGTGGGGGGGGGCAGAGGCAGCAAGACGCCTGGGACTGCCCACGGGGTGGTGTCCGCGGCAGCAGCTGTATGACGGAGGAATGAAGGAGGGGCTGCCTGGACCCTTCCCTGCCATGTCTTCCTCCACACAGGTAGCTTTGAAGGCTCTCTTGTGGCTCCTCAGAGACACAGGCGAGGCCAACCATACTAGACCAGCAGAAACCATCACACACACACACACACACAGAGAGAAATACACACTAGGCAGAAAGAAGGCACTAGACTCTGCTCATGGAAACGGAGGAAGCCAAAACTTGCTTGGCCATTGGGGGGGGGTGCCTGTGCCTCTCCAGGGGTCCCCATCCTCTCCTCCAGCATTGAGCCTGGGTTCAAGGTGGGCCAGCTGTGATCAAAGGGCCCTGGGTCCCAGCACTGTGGCTCATTCTGGGCCTCTGCAACTGATGCTGGGAGGAGGGTGAAGATGAAGTGTGTGTGTGTGGGGGGGGGTATTCATACATCATCTTGCTTGGACGGAAGCGGGCGGCTTGGAACCTGGCATCGAGCCCTCCCTCCGACCAGGTTTGTGTTCCTGGGACCCTGGCAGGCACACGAGGTATTCGCTAAGTAGTTTTGGGGTTTTTGTTTGTTTTTTTAAAGGGGGGGCGCTCTCGCTCTCCGCGGCATTGGCGGAAGCAAGATCGAAGGCTGGATGGGAGCCCCCGCGACCGGTCCTCGGCCCCCGTGGCCGTGCGGGACTTCTCCCGTTCCCTTCTGAATCGCGGAGCCCAAAGGCTGTCATCCCTTGGACTGGAAGACAGTATATGAATCACATTTCAGATCTCTCCTGAAAATTGGAGGCCACTAGTTCTTTACATTTTCACATCCATCTTCGAGGCATTAACTTGGACGCACAGCCCATTGATCGCTTTAGAATTTACTTCTTAGTAAGCATTCAATAACATCATAGGCCATCCCTAAAAACTACCACGCTGGATCACAGGTTCCTAAGATTCAGCACAAAGGTATGAAGAATTTGCTGCAAGAATGTCACTGACTTTCTCAAACTCCTGTATGAAACTTTATTTGATGTTTTCATTGTTTAATTCCCTTTTTTTAAATTAGCAGAGTGTAAGATAAAAACAAAGCAATATCAACAGCAGCAGGAAAAACATGAGCGCCGTTGCCCCACTTTCGCTGCTCGGGTGCCCAGCGGTGCCAGGCCGAGGCCGCGGCGGTCTGGGCAGGTGCCCGAAGGGAGGCCGGAGTCGCCGCCCCCGGGTGGGGTGGGGGGGCCCTGGCGCACCTCCCGCTCCCTCCCTCCCTCGGCCTCTCGGCCCGTCCTTCCTGCCTGCCCTTCCTCGGCCCTGAAGGCCGGCGGGTGGAGGGAGGGAGGGAGGCCTGGCATCTGGCGCCCCGGCGCCCGGATTCCCAAGGGCGTCTCGGATGCGGCTCTGAAGGGCGCCTTCGCTGGGGGCCCTCCTTCTCTGCGCCCTTTGGCATCGGCGAATCCTCGCCCGGCGGCTGACTTCCGAAGCGGGGGCTTCCTCTCCAGCAAAAGGGACCGCTTAGCCCTGGCTGTCCAAAGACGGGGGCGCTCTGTGTGTGCGCAGGGGCACTGTTGGCACGGCCTCCAGGACATGTATTTGGTCGCCGTAAGAGCGGATCGTCGCTCCCTCCTCCCGCTGGGATGAGGTGGCCCGACTGTCGGGGGCACTGCCTCCACCTAGCGAGTAAACGGGACCTGGGGGAGACCAAAACCCCTCCCCGCTTTCCGGACAGAGTTCCAGGGGCTCCGCTGCGGAGCAGAAAGGCCGCTTAGCCTAAAGCGCTTCCGCCCCAGCTCTCGTCCCAAACTTCTCCGTGAGGGACGGGCTCCTGTTTTCCACGCACCTTTTGGGGAAGCGTGACTCGGGAGTAGGCCGAGGATCTCTTCCTCAGGCACCCTGGAAGTAAGCAGGAGGCCGGGTAGTTGGCGGCTTAGTCTGGACCAGGCTGGCAGCTGAGCGCTAGCATGCCTATCTATCTATCTATCTATCTATCTATCTATCTATCTATCTATCTATCTATCTATCTATCTATCTATCTATCTATCTATCTATCTATCTATCTACCTACCTACCTACCTACCTATCTCATACATGCACACACACACCACACACACACACACACACACACACATACATACATACCCCCATCTTTCTCCTTAAAAAAGGACCCAAAGCCGCTTACATCATTAAAAGACAAGCTAGAAACATTTAAAGCTCAAAACAGTAAGTATACAGATACCAAAAAGGGTCAAGCAAATACCACATTAAAATACAGTAAACAAAAGCAACACCAAAAAGGCATTGAAAACAGTTTGCCACCCCAACCCCGGAATAAAGACACAAGGTGTGGCGCGGAGGAGTGGTATTTGGGGGGGGGGGGAAGGGCTATTCGGGATCAGGCCTGGGGAGCTGCTCCGTCGGGCACGGCCTCCCTCAAGCCCAGCTGGCGCTATCCTGGCCTTCGCTTGGAAGAAACCGGCGCCCCTGGCAAGGGATGGGCGGTCGAAGCCTTTTTACGTGATAGCTGGGCTGGCTGGCCTGCCCGCGATTTCCCCCTGCGAGCCTTTAACGCCAGATAACGTTTTGGGGGGGGGCGGAATGGAGCGCCCTTCCTTGGGCCCCTCCTGGCCAGTTCGGAAAACACCGGCCGAGCAGGGAGGGGCGCCGCGCCGCGGGGCACACGGGGTCCTTCGAGCGCGCCGCCGCCGCCCGCCGGGTCCCTCTGGCCTGCCCCTGACGCGAAGAGTTGGGGCGGGGCGGGGACGCCGGGGCGGGCGACCCCCTCCTCACGGCCCCCTCTCTCTTGGCAGCAACTGGCCCGGCCCGGCCGGCCTGCGAGAAGATGGCAGGGTCCGAGGCCGCCTCGGAGGGGAAGATCGCGGGGCTGTACGACCTGGAGCGCACGCTGGGCAAGGGGCACTTCGCGGTGGTCAAGCTGGCCCGGCACGTCTTCACCGGGGAGCGGGTGGCGGTCAAGGTGATCGACAAGAGCAAGCTGGACGGCGGGGCGGCGGCGCAGCTGCTGCAGGAGGTGCGCTGCATGAAGCTGGTGCAGCACCCGAACGTGGTGCGCCTCTACGAGGTCATCGACACGCAGGCCAAGCTGTACCTGATCCTGGAGCTGGGCGACGGCGGGGACATGTTCGACCACATCATGCGGCACGAGGGCGGGCTGGCCGAAGGGCAGGCCAAGCACTACTTCGCCCAGGTGGTCCACGCCATCTCCTACTGCCACCGCCTGCACGTGGTCCACCGGGACCTCAAGCCGGAGAACGTGGTCTTCTTCCAGGAGCAAGGCGTGGTCAAGCTGACCGACTTCGGCTTCAGCAACTACTTCCAGCCGGGCACCCTGCTCACCACCAGCTGCGGCTCCCTGGCCTACTCGGCCCCCGAGATCCTCCTCGGCGACCAGTACGACGCCCCCGCCGTCGGTAAGAGAGTCCGGAGCAGGCAGGCCTGGAGGCGGGCAGGCAGGCAGGCAGGGAGGACCAGGCCAATTCTGCCCCCCCCCCAGCCCTCAGGAACGCGGCCCAGAGGCCTCCTCCTGAACCCAACCAAGAAGGAGGGCAGGCCCACAGCCCAAGGGGCCGGAGGCTGGAGGCGGTCTGGGCCGAGAGCCTGGCGACTCCCTTCCCGGCCAGGGCAGAAGCAGAGGTGGAGCGGCCGGCATCCGGCCTGACATGGGCTCCGTGGCCTTTCCTCTCCCCCCCCCTTTGTGGCCTGCTCAGTTCCTGCCAAAGGGGCAGTGGAGCGCCTCCTCGCCCACCTTCCCTCCATCCTTAGTCGTGACCTCCACCCACATTGAACTGCACACATACACCTCTCTTGCCTTGTGTGTGTGCGCGCACGCATGCGCTCTGTCCCTCCTGAGGGCCATCCTGAGGCCCCCAGCCCTGGCACCAAGGGGAGTGGCTCAGCCCCTCCTTCCCCATGCAATGCTTGCTGCAGGATCTGGCCTTGGCACAGAGTCAAGGGAACCCGAAGCTACCTGGAGGACCACGTGCACCTTCTGTGCATCTGCTGTTGCCCTGGAGGGAGGAACAGGACACTCGCGGGCTCTCTGGAGCAACAGGGTTCGGGTTTGGGAGAAGAGGCGAGAGGTCCTGGGGGCCGCTGGAGCTCTTGGCGGGGTGGGGGCTTAGATCAGTCCTGTCTGGCAGTGACAGAGATGGGAGGCCTTTGTCGTAGAATCTTCCATGAACAAATGAATAAACCCCAGCCTCTGTTGTGGGTTTTGGGGGGGGGTGTGCATTTTTTAAAATGTTTTATTTATTTTATTTTATTTTTTTGCTTTGCTTTGCTTTGCAAATGGGCTCTAGGAGGATGAATCCACACTGAAATCTGAGAGGCTGAAAGGATTTGGTGAGATTGTAGGAAGGGGGTAGCAAGAGGAAGGGGAGCTTATGAAGGAAAAGGGAGGTGGAAGGTTATAAATAGAATGCTCTCTGAGAATCCGGAGCTTTGGCTGAATTGTGCCCATTGCTCAGCAGTTCCCTTGAGGCAGGAATGTGGCAGAAGCCTGCTTTCCCCAGCTTCAGCCTGCCTTGTCTGGTCCAGAGCAAATGGCTTCCTGCCCTCCCCTGCCCCTCTTCTGTCACCAGTGCAGGCACTGGACAAGGGAAACACAAGGGACAGGGCCAGAAGGCGTAGGGGACTCCCAAGGGAAATGAGAAGGATGTATGCGTGTGTGTGTGTGTGTGTGTG